TTCGAAAGAATCATCCTCGAAGATACGAGCGTTGATCGCGGTCGGCATCCGGTAGAGGTCCCGCTCCGGCGGACGGTCACAGCTGATGCATCGGATGCAACTCGCGATGCTGACACAGGATCGGGTTACATACGAGCGCGGTTGTCTCATTGCCGTCGAAAAAAGTATTTTACGTAACGTAGCGTAACTCGCAACACGTCCCTGAAAAAGGCAACGGAAACATCGTTATCGAACGGAGCCAAGAACGTTACTTTGCCGATGGCGTCATCGATGATATCGATTCCGATGCTAGTATTGCCGATGACGTCACCATTTCCAGCATTTTAAGTAACTAATCTGAGATACGAATCGTCGTTGACGTAGTGACGTAAACTGAGTTGTAGGAAGGGNTTCTCACAAAATCCTTTGTCAGAAGAAAAAATTCATAAGAATCAAGCTGCTCGCTACCATACATCCCAGGAAATATCTCATCGAATACCTAACTACCACCATACAAGTTAATATTCCATCCGTAGCAGTGGTGAGTGCTTCATAAAACCATAAATTCCAAGTTTCAGGCGTTTCTCGGCGGTCGAGAATGCCGAGGCACCCAAAATGGTAAAGTTGGCTCTTGAGTGGATCGAAGCTTAGTTCGATTTAAATAACTCGTCCGCAGAAAGGTGTATCCGTTACCGATTGCGCCTCCGTGACGTAACTTTCTCCTCTCACTCTGTGCGACTCATCAAAACCTTGCCGGAGGCGACGGCAAGTTACCGAGAAAGGTCAAGGCTGCAGCAAAGTCATCGGAGGCGCAGCGTTTTAACCGTCTTGTTTCTCTCCGCGAATTCTTCAAAAAATGATCGTGAACCTATTCGTGCGGTGTGATTTTACGGAATTTACGGAAAAAACTATACAAACTATTCGGAAGCTTTTGAGTTAAGCTGTGGTTCTGCTGGTAATCGGTTATAGAAAAAATCTCAACTTGACACCTTTGCACTTAAATCAGATCATCCTGTATACTTTCTAAATGACATCGAAAAATGTCTCAAACAATTTCCTTGGGGGAGATGTCATGATTTCACTCGATTTCTCATCAACTCCTATCGAATCTCAGTCGGATTAAATGCAGGTAGAATATACTCAAACGTCTTTCATAATTATTCCGCTATTCGGCCGATTCTGTCAGTAATCCATCGTTCAAACACAAGGAGAGTGAAAAAATTTACATGAACTTTCGTTTCTAAACTGCTTCTTGAGTTACATTAGGCATCTTCAAACCTCACTAAAAATGACGATGCGTATTGTGAAATCGAAAACCAAGTCTTCATTCAAAACGGTCTCTTATACGCTTGAACAGATCCGGTACACTCATGACGTCACAGCACATGACAAACCTGGTTTCTTTATCAAACGGCTGCCAATTCCTTAGAAAGAAATACATAGTAAATTATGAGGAGACCAGAGACCAGGTTTGCCATGCCATGTCCTGTGCCATCACGAAGGTACCGGGTCCGTTCCCGCGTAAAAGCGACCGTTTTGAAAATTCGAATTAAGGAGCGTTTATAAGTTGATTTTTGGGGGGTTTCCGGTGGTCAATGAACTGTAAGAAAATTCCTGTGTTATCAGGATCCTTAGTTCTTTCGATACAAGCAATAAAAAAAAGTGCAACAGACCCATTCAAAAAGCGTACAAGAGTTGCCACAGGATTTAGCATATGAAATTCCCTGGCATTTCCCTGATTTCCCTGACACATTTTGGTGAAATTCCCTGAGAATTAAAGATATGCCAGATGGTTCAAAAGACGCATGACATTTTCGTCAGTTTCCCTGACATTTCCCGGTTTTCTCTGACTTTTTAAAATTCTCTGACATTTCCCGGTTTTCCCTGACCGTGGCAACCCTGCACTGAAAAAAAAAGTTCGGTAAATCCAAACTAGTTAGGATCATATACGGAACCACGATTTTATGCAGTACACATGACCGAATTATTCGGTCTGCTCAGCCGAACTGTTCGGTCCACTGAACCGAACTGCAAGAATTTATTGTGGTTCGGTCGCACAAACCGAACAATTCGGTTGAACAGACCGAATAATTCGGTTGTGTGTACCGAACAAAACCTGGTTCCATATGATCCTAACTAGTTCGGATTTACCGAACTTTTTTTTTCAGTGTGACACACGTGGCGCCCTCTGCGCTGAAAAATTTCCCACAATACAAGTTAGTGAAGATGCACCAATGGAATCAAGATTCGAGAGAATCATCCTCGAAGATACGAGCGTTGATCGCGGTCGGCATCCGGTAGAGGTCCCGCTCCGGCGGACGGTCACAGCTGATGCATCGGATGCAACTCGCGATGCTGACACAGGATCGGGTTACATACGTGCGCGGTTGCCTCATTGCCGTCGAAAAAAGTATTTTACATAACGCAGCGTAACTCGCAACACGTCCCTGAAAAAGGCAACGGAAACATCGTTATCGAACGGAGCCAAGAACGTTACTTTGCCGATGGCGTCATCGATGATATCGATTCCGATGCTAGTATTGCCGATGACGTCACCATTTCCAGCATTTTAAGTAACTAATCTGAGATACGAATCGTCGTTGACGTAGTGACGTAAACTGAGTTGTAGGAAGGGGAATTTAAGACGAAAGCTTGAATTTTCCCCTCGGGTTAAAAATCAAAGAACAGCAGGTCCAAAATTAGACCCGAGACGCATCTACTTTTGCTTTCTGATCGGATACGACTGGTGTCCCGTTGAACAGTTTCACTTCGGAAGAAAAATTATGCTTTATATGAGATAGTTTGCACTATGGTGAGGATACTCTGCGTTATGCAGAGTCATGATGCCACCTTAGCTCAGATCATATGATCGCCATTTTTAATCTTACGGTTAAAAATTGTTGATCTTTCACGGATTTTTTTAAAATATTATGTCTGGAGGTTTAGAAATTCCCACACGAGACTCACCGAAGACTTGCTTTTTCTACGACCGACTTCGGTCTCATGAACTGCATGGGCGAAACTTGGGGGTTTTCTGAAACTATGCTATGGTTGGAGTGCCTATAGTGATATAATTGGCGTGACTATTACAACATAAAATTAGAGTGTTCTGAAGCGTTCGTAGAATTCAGTCTTGGAACATGGAAAGTTTATTTTAATTAGTTTTTAGGCGAAACAGTTCAAAATTGTCCTGAATTATATTGAAAATTGCTCCTGAATTTTCTCGATTTTCGAAAAAATTTTAAGGTGCTTCCGCCATGTGCCAAAAACATCTTCGGAGCTGAGGAGGTTTCCCTCGACCCCTCCAGGTAGGGTAATTATGGATGTCCCTCCTCTTTCAGCCCAATCATCATCATCAATGTTAAACATCTCCATTTCTCTTCCAATTACAACTGTGGTGGAGGTTCCACCTCGAAAGTTCAGTTCTTTCCCCTCCATGCGTTGAAAAAAAACTCCGGCCGCGGAAACCGAACTTACGGGCTATGTAGACATACCCTCCGCGTTCCGGGCTCAGAGGCACAAAGTTCCGGGCGCAGCACCCGTAGAAATGCTTGAAGCTACGGCTCCAGCACCCGGAACTATCGATCTTGGAGCCCCGAACGGACGGTATGTCTATAATAGCCCGGAACGGACGGTATGTCTATAATAGCCCGGAACGGACGGTACGTCTATAATAGCTCGGAACGGACAGTATGTCTATGATAGCCCGTAACTTTTTTTTCAATGTGCCCCTTTTTCCCCCAGACGGCAACCGCGGAGCTGCGTTATGAATCGCGGGACGCACGGTATCAATGCCAAGATCATGAGGCACAGCTGCATGAGCGCGCGATGACTGGTGGCTGGCCCGATGCGATACCGGTAACGGAGCCGGAGCGCTCACCAGTCACCGGTGCGGGAATTTTTCCTCTCGATTTGGACGGGAACGCCGGAACGGTGCCAAGCGGCTCAAGCGCCCGACCGGGCGACCACGGCTCATTAGGCATCGCTCCGGAGCCCGGACTCATCATCGTGATGGCGTCGTTCATCCAGGATGACACACACCGGGGGATCACACTTAATGCCGCCATGACGAATAACAAAGCTGTACACTGTAACAATCGCGCGATGATTGGTGGAAACGACTTTCGAGCTCTCGGACGGGGTCGAATCGGAGTCCTGAGATGGAGAGAGTATTACGAGTACCATCTGCATTCTGGCGGCAACGAGCATTTATGACGTTTATATGCTCGCTTCGACTGGTTTTGGACTATCACGACTTACGAGGATCCTTAAGACCAGTGTAAACAAGCAAAACGGTGATACGGGCAGGGGTGAGAATCGTTCTGGGCCTCCGAAATTTTCTGCAACGCGCGTGGTTTTCGCAAAAAGGGTCAGCACAAAGAGCTGATCAAAATTTCGTTGACTGTTAAGAACGCACAAGGTTTTTCGGAAAGCAGGTTGCTGAATTAACCTGATTTAACCGCTGATTAACGCGCTGATTTAACCTTAAACCCCTGGAAAAAAAACTTTAAAAAAACTTCTCAGCCTCCGCGATTTGGTCGCGACCGAGCGACAATTTGCACCCATGGATTGAGGGTTTGTCGAAGATTACGGGCTTAAGAATAAAAAGCCCTGTAGAGATTGGCCCGTTCATAAAATACGTCACCTCTCTAGATCTATTGAGGACCGTTCGAGCCGAAAATCTACAGATAAAGTCGAAAGTGCTATTTACGATTATCTGTCGATATCGATAGATTGAAATCGATTCTAGATTCGAAATAGTGCTTATGATTTTACTTTGAGATTTTGGAAGATGTTTTGCGGCTGAAATGTTCCTTACTACTTCAATCCACTAAAATTTCGATTTTCTTAAAACAATCTGCCTAATGGCTAAAATGTGTAACACATCGACCGTAGTCAAAATGCATAGTACCAAAGCTGAAGATCCATCTGGAGTCTGACGCAGAACCACTTCTGACGTTATGTCAAAGACATGCACATGCACCATCACCGGGAAGAAGGAAAACCATTCGGGAACTCACCATCCAATCGGTGAGGACAAGGCGCTCCCTCTGTCGGCGGCAGCGGCAGCACTCGCAGGGCTGCTTGTATCCGAGAAGGCGAAGCGGGGGTGGCGGCGGGGGTACAGGCGGGGGCACCGGGGAGCTGAGCTCCAGGGAGTCGGAGCTGCTCGTCGTGTTGGCGCCCCCGCTGCGCCTGGGCTTGGGCGGCCCGAGGAAGTCGTCCAGGAGGTAGAAGCTCTGGGCGTGCGGGGAGGCCGGCTGCGGGGGCTGAATGGCCGTCGTGGAGGTCTTGAGAAGGGCGCCCAGGGAGCGCCACCGACGCTGCACCTCGGGCCGGTCGCAGTCCTTGCCGCGGGCCCGCCTCCTCGGCGTCCACCACTGGGTCGGCGAGAGGATGGAGGCGGACTTCTTGACGAGGACCTCGCGGAAGGAGTGGTTCGTGTCTTTCTTGGGCGTGTCCAGGAGGTCCTCTTCGGGCACCGAGTCGTAGCGGTGGGCATGGTGAGTGCGGGGGTGGCGGACGAAGCCGTAGTCCGTGTCCACGGTGGCCGTCGGGAGGGTGGCCGTGCGGGCCCGGTGGGGGCGCGGGTCCCGGAGACCCCGAGGGAGGCACGAGAAGGAGGCCGAGTGGCGGAGCGGGGGCGGCCCCGGCTGCGGGCAGGTCTCCCACATCCCTCAACACCTGCAACACAGAGAAACGCAACCACTACGTGCAGTCAAATCTACTTCGACGAAGGTACACTCAAAACTACATAAGAGGTAAAATACAAATGATGGAGAATGTGCAGATCTCGGGAATTGTGTAAATTCATGTTTAGAATGGAACTACGAAGAGAACTTAGATTTACACGGAGAAAAAAACCTCGTGCGTGGGACCCGAAGTTTAGGTCATATGGATCCTTGAAGTTTTTGGATTGAGCATCAACACTTTATGTCTAGCTGTCGAGGTTCGGAACACACATTTGAAACTTCAGTTCTTACATGTGAAGTAATGTGGGAACCGAAGTTTTTCGATGTGAGAACCGAAGTTTTTCGAATGTGAAAACCGAAGTACTTCAGACGTAAGAACTGAAGTTTCAGATGTGTGATCCGAACCTCAGCAGCTGGGCCTAAAGTGTTTAGATGCTCAATCCGAAAACTTCAGAAATTCATATGACCTAAACTTCGGGTCCCACGCACGAAGTTTTTTTCTCCGTGTAGATCCTTGGTCCCTTAATTGAACAATAGTAGGAGGAGATAAGACAAAATAACCTAATCTGCTGAAATACATGTGTTCTAATCGGTAATGCCGCCAAAATGACGTCGCAATGCACAAAAACTTTCAAATCTATTTTTCTACAATTTTCCATTTTAGAAAAAAAAATTATGCAAAATACTACGAACGCAGGTCACTAAGCACTCTCAGATAAAGCAATACATTCTTGTGTGTGAACTCTTCATTGTACGACACAAAAATAAAAACAAAAACAAAGCATAGTTAGGAAACGGAGACAACATAAAGGGTGTCCCACAGTTAAACGCGAATATGAATTTTCAGAATCAATTTGGGGGATCAAAGTAAGACTTTTTGGTTATATAAAGTTTTCCCGGCTCCTCCCCCTTTGGAGTAACAGGCCTTAAAGCTTGAGCCAAAATACCGTTATTTTTTTTATTGTCACGACAGTCATGACCATAAATGCTTGTAAATTGGCACTTTGTCGTTCTTCTACAGTCTGGACTTATTTCTGACCCTAAAAAACCGAAATCATACTTCGGGGGATTGGGGAAAAATCACAGAGCAAAAAAGTCTTATTTTGATCCGAAGAATCGATTCTGAAAATATTCAAATTCAACTTTGGGACACCTTGTACTTCGGAGATCCCGCACTGACAATCCAAGTTAGGTAATTGAAAGAGGCTTAAGTTACATTCGAAATTCAAAGAGCTTACTTCCCATGATGGTTTATGAGTAACTTGTTGAGCAAAAACTCAAATAAAATTCACGTACTTAGAATTAATTAATACATAAATAAATTTCAGGGTACGAGCTTTGCTCGGTGAGCTCTTGCAAGTGAAGTTAGGATTGCTCAACTCAACTAATTCCTCAACTCTTTTGGCATCAGTCATCATTAGGCGAATCAGAGCGTTAGGATTTTAGAGCTTATCATACTCTACAATAGTATATCATGAGAGTAACCCGTAACAAACTACCTTTATAACGTTTCGCTACGAAATTACGTTGACAGACAATCGTTTTCTAAACAACGCAACGTGATGCTTTGCGCGTTTACAGGTAAGTAAGTTTCTCTCACTCCTCCAGCCACGTGACGAAAGGAAATCCATACCCCATCGGTCTCTCATTGGCATACGCTGAACCAGTTAAATTAAAGGTAAATGTGCTTTGAGAGAAGCCATCAAAGAGCCGACTTCACTTCCGATTTATGGCGTAAGCCGATTTGCACTTCGACCGACGCACAGCGGATTGAATCAATTAGAGAAGTCGGACATAACATTTTTGACTTAAACTGCAAAAGATGTTTATTTCATTACATTTTAAATATCAATGGGTGTTTCTACGGGAAAATTTCACGAGGAAACCAATGAAATACTTTTAAAACCTCAAAGTTTTTTTAAAAACGGAGTTATGAGCTTTTAAAGTTTCCGAATTTAGTCAGATCTCTCGAGTTGACTTGGTCCACTGTGCGACGCGCCTCGGTGACTAAACCTCACAGTTATGGAGGTAATCCTCTCCCGGAGTTAGATTTGTCCCTACGTACGCAAATGCATTCAATGGTCGATTTGCAAAGGGGATGACGCGGACAATTGGATTTCACTCAACAATAAGGAACCACGATTGCTGGCTCATCTAGAAGAGCACTTACATGTATAGGGAAACTAATGGCACAAATGTTGTTTCTAAAATGAACCAGAATTAGTTCGTTTTTTCTCCATAATGCAGTCCAAATACGAGCAGCTGGAGGACTTACAATGGTCATATTTTGAACGTTTAAAAGTGATATTCGGACTACATTTTGCGATAAGGAACCACTATTCATAGCTCATCCATAAAAGCACCTATATACAAGCGGTGACTAAATGCGCAAATTTTGTTTTTGAATTGAGCTAGAAATAATGGTTTCTCGTTACAAACTAAAGAAATGTACTACAAACATTGTGTACAACATGTGTACAAACTAAAGAATGTATGAGACCGTCTATACGAGAAACGGAACCCCAGTCCACACTCTGAAGAATGAGCCATTGATACAAAAGCAAAGAGGGGCGTTTCATAAACATTTTGAGACAAAAAACTCTAAAAGTGTCGAACGGAACTAATGTCATTATGGTTTGAACTGTGCAGTTGCAGTTGAACAGTTGCAACTGTAAATAAACAGAGTATACTCGTTAGAAACGTGCGGAGGAATACTTCTATCGATCGATGAGAGCATTCAAACTAACAACTATCAAAAAATGAATACCGTTTCAGAACATTAGATCCAAGAGTTCCAGGGAACCAGATTTTCCAGATCTACAGGAAAGAGGAGGGTGCTCTTACCTGAAACAAACGATAAAAAGAGAAAATTATTGATAAACTCACCAACACACAGACATATTTTGTGAAATTAGTTATATTAAATACTACCAGGTCATCTTGCAGCCAAGAGCTGCATTCTATGAAAACTTGGCCCACAGTAATTAAGAAGTAAAGGCGTTTATCAATCTTGTTCACCATGGTAAACATGGTAGTAAAAATTCAAAATTGACATGATTATATTAAGTATGCACTATATACACCGCGGTGCAAATTGTTATATAAAGCAATCGCCGGCAATTTGCAAGCGGCATGCGTAAAAATTTAATAAACTTTTAATAAAACTTTCAACTCACCAAACTGCAACAATTCTCATCGACTTACTCAAGGTTACATTGGTAAAGAACTCAAAATTAGGACCGTGGCGTCGGGCGCCTTCAAACCCTGGTGATACTCTCAGCTTTGCCGGACAGTTCGTTTAGTTGCCTATCTGAACCAAACCTGACTTGCTTTTTTAACAGAAATTGCTGATGCTCCGAAAAGGAATTTCTCTCAGTGTATGGTGAATAACTAAGCAGATTCGTGGTTTTTAATCAATTCTATGGTTTTTCTTTCCTATTCTTCCTTCTTCTTTGAAAGGCACTCAGGATTTCTTTCCGTGAATTTATGCCCCGAACTATCAAAACAATCTTAATTCTGAATATCCTCAACTCTTTCCCACCCTCATCGAAGCTTTCCACCCCCTTCCCCCCGCCTCCTAATCCCGTGCGAAGGTTCGGCGACCAGCGACAAGAAACAGAGACAATGTCGCGACGCAACCCCTTCCTCCGTCAACTCCTTCGGGCGAGTCGTCAGAAGCACGTAGCGTGCGCCTCGTGGCGTGATCGGCATCCATTAATATTGGGCCGAATTCGTACAATTTTTTTACGGGGAGATTTGCCAGCTAGGATATTTATTTAGTCGCTCTAGTCGTGCTCTTGCTAATCTTCCGGCTCTCCGACCTGGAAGCGGCGAATCGTTGTGCTGGGTGAAGTATCGTTATTTTTAAGTCCTGGCGGTGGACGCTTCAAGCATCGGCGAGGCGTGATGATCGACAATCGATACTTTCCTATTTTAAGCTATGATAAAAAATCGAGTATTATGATGTTCGTTGCGAACGCCCTGATAATCGATTCTTTTTCATAGGTTTCAATGGCAGATTACTCGATCTGTCGCGAAAAGCACGCCATACCACTGGCTTTAAGGTGATTCGTCCCGGGTTCTCGAAGTGAAGTACAATTTAGCGCCAGGGCCGGATTTAGGGGGTGGCCACATGGGCCGCGACCCATGGCGGCAAATTTTGCAATTTTTTTAAATGTAGCTATAAAGAAAAATCGGATTCAGGGAAAAAATTACAGACCAGAAAAAGTGACAAAATCTCTCATTTCCCGAGAGTATATCTCTAACTTTGTCGTATTCCTGTGATAGAATAGACAGCACCTTTAATTAGTCGAGTTATGACTAAGAGAGAAACCAAACACAGAATTTGGCCTGGAATGGCGCGGCGCAGAGAGCGATGATGACGAGAACTTGAGATGAACAGGAGAAACCCTCGGCGCGGCGGGGCGGTTGGCATGTAACACATATTAGCGCCTACAAGACTGCATGAATACTTCACGCATTGCGTCAAAGACAGTGCGGTCGCTGCGGTCAGCAGCGGGCGTCGTGAAACGCATAGCGCCGACAAGACTGCATGAATACTTTACGCATTGCGTCAAACTTAGTGCGTGCAGCAGCGGTCGGCGTGAAACGCATAGCGCATACAAGACTGTAGGAATACTTCACGCATTGCGCCAAACATGGTACGGTCAGCGCGGCGCGGCGGCGGAAGTTAAAATTATTAAAGCACATTTATGTTTGTTCTTTCATAATATTTTCGTTCATTTCATGTAAATGGAAGGCCTTGTCCACACAGAGAAAGGTTTACGCAACTTAACTTTCGCGCCAAGTTACGTGAATTTTTACTAGTAGTGTTGACAGGTCTTTCGCAAAAAATGTGTCCAACACGAGTAAACACGTCTTATGCACCCCTCGCCCTCCGGCACGTTCACTTGATGGTTTTTATTGATGTTTCAAAACGATTGAGAAGGGGGAGGCAAAATACAGGCGGCCCATGGGCGGCAAGCAAGTAAA